TCTGGGTTGTTGCGCCGTGTGGTCCGGTAGAAGTTAACTGACGTTTCAGAGGTCCTTGCTGCCTCCATCATCAGAGCAAGGATCTCTGAAAAATCGGTAAACTACACGGCGCAACAACCCAGTTAAAAACAACAACGCGTAAATAACCACAAGTGGAATAGAGTGTATTTAAAGTAAATTATCTGCGATTTTGCGTTCCGTACTTCATCGGTGTCATTGCTAGTTTACTAATTTTACAAATCCGCTGTTACAAAACTAATCCCACTGCAGAGTTGGCTAATCTTCCTTCCATTTCCACAAATATGCTTGATAATATTTACTTTACGTCAGGTATCATGCTTTTTGTAGTTGGCTGTTTTACGAAGAAGCGAGTTACTTCTTGAGCTCCGGTTTCAAAATTTCTGTGTAGAATCACAAAATTAAATTTACTTTTGAGGAGTCATCGGAGGGTATTGAGAACGGGATGCTGAGGTTATGATGGTAGAGGAAACAGCATCTTCAAGAGCTCCATTGCTCTGAACCATTTGACACATGTAATCAGGATGATAAAAACAGTATGTGATGGGCGGGGCACGTAGCGCGTTCCGTATCACAAGTATGAATTCTGCTATTAAATCTTAAAAAAAGCGAATTTTAGTATCAGCTGCAACTTGCAAAGTTTTAAACCAAAAGCTGATTCTGTCCCCGATCTGCTGTTACGTTATCCCATGGTAAATTTCTGCTGTTCAAATTCCACGAGAAATATGTTTTCAAGCTTTCGGCGAAACACGTTTCTTCTTCGACGCGTAAAATGGTAGACGCTACTTCGCCGAAAGCCGTAACTACAGTCACGTATTGACTGAGGCCATTTTTGCGCAGACAGGTGTTGAGTTGAGTAGGTGCATCTTGACCCCGGCACACAATGGCAGCCGTCCTACATAATTAATACACATTAAAATTGGGCGGTGGGTACCATCTATTCAGAATTCACTAAGCATAACAGTTGACATGATCTGACTGTTTATCTCGAGGTCCATATTCAGAAAATACCTGATCACTGACGACAGTTTCGTGTTTTTCCTCCATAGTAAGAAAGAGGCCAAGGAATTTCCTGATACAGTAAAACCCCTCAAGTTGGACACCCCTATATCCTGGACACTCCTTTATATTGGACACTTTTAATTGGAACCGGGGAATATCCTATAATTTTACATGTTCACAATACCCTATATCTTGGACACCCCTTTATCCTGGAACTTGAACACCACTTTTGTTGTAAGTTGGACAGGTTCATGCACTTAACTTCGATGCTTTTCAGGGAAGCTTTTTAAGTTACATATTTTGTTATTTTGAATTTCTGACTGATGAATGCCTCCTCTCTGTAGGATTATCTTATGAACATTGAACACATCATTGGAATGCATTTCAAGTGTTTAACTATTCTTTTGCTGAACCCTTAACTGGACTGCAGTATTGCAGAAGACACAGTTTTAACTCCGTCAGTACTGTGCTTGAATTTGAGTTCAGACTGTGTTAACAGAAATGAAATTTTTCTTTTTGCGATGGGGAGGCGAAAATTGGTGGAATTAACTTTAGAAAATGTTATTGACGCTGTAGACCACAATCTGATTTTTATCTTTCCCTCTATCTTGGACACCTGTAAGTTGGACACATTTTCGTGGAACCCCAAGTGTCCAACTTAGAGAGGTTTTACTGTATTATGAAACCATAAGGTTCATCATGATAACAAAACCCTGCCAGTGGATCTTTAATCCATTTTATATCCGCACATACTACGTTTACGGGATAATTAACACAGCTAATGTTACGGAGATCTTGGGTTCAGATCCCAGCACTTCAAAATTTGCCACCACCGTCGTCATTAATAATCTAACCAATGACTGATTCCGGCATGCAGTTGAAAAGTCGTTTTATGACTCTACAAATCAATCATCACAGTTTACACGTATATTAATATTGGAGTATGTTATCCACCTACGTCTACGTCGTGGGGGACATAAGTTACATAGAGTGCATTTAACATTATGACCGGGAAACCTCGAGGAACGAAGCCACGACGGGCGCCTACGCAGAGAGAGGATGCTGAAGTGGATGAATGGTGTGTGAGGGTATGGCTCAGGGTAAGGTTCCACAAAAGCAGTGATTTTCTTCAAAAGCTCAGCAACTATCAGTTTCGAGAGGAAGATGCCGTTATTAAAGACGAATGAACGTTTTGGCCTTTGGGAGATACGGCGAAGAATGGAACACGACGAGGATATGTTGATGATTTGGTGGTTGCAAAATACGGAGGAATTGGTTTTGAAGACGTATCAGGTCGTATTCATGAATGAGACTAAAACAAGAGCTGAAAACGAAGCTGGAGGACAATGAGAGGAAGGATGAACGGGAGTCGAAGAATAACGAAGATAACAGCAAGATAACATGAAGAACGAAAAGAAAGAAATGGTATGGGAAATAGGAGCATGGAAGGAGGAAGACGAGTAGAATGATGTCATAGAAGATGAAGGGGAAGGTGAGAGGGCATGTTGTTTATATTTATGAAATTATTTTAATCGGCTTTCACTCTGTTCCCTTTGTTTCCTCGTCTGCCGAACTTCCCGAGACGTTCATTCATCGCTTTTCCACGCCACCCAGACTCCTACAGATAAAACGACGGTCTGCAGACCAAGAGATAGGCTTGGCTCTCCTTCATTTACATATTTCATTGAAGAGATGAATGGGCTGACGCTAAAGAGGACATTCACCTCCAAGTAATTGTTTCTGTATGAATGGTGACGTCACCAAGATTGTCCAGCCTATCAGCTGGTTTGCAAGACGACAGATCTGAATGCCAGTCGAGCCGAAGAACTCTTTGCACTTAGTGAACCCAGCTGTTCGTGACCACCAGTCCATTTGTCGATTTATTTTGTTATTTGGGGGCATGCACTAAAAGTTGTCAAATGATTTCGTTTCTAACCCACTTTCCTCTTTATGTGGTTATTAACGACATGACAACTTCGGAAATGAAGCCATTTTAGAACAGCGGAAGATTCAGTTAATCGGAGCTGCTGAAATGGTTCGAAACAAAATGTAACAAGGGAAAGCAACAGAATACAGTATACAAGCCAAGCAGGGGAAGGGAATTTTTAAAAAATACCACTGCAGAGGTGGCATGTTGCTGTAACAAGCCAAATGTTTGATACTAGACGGAATGATAATGATTTTGATGATAACTCCTATAAGGCGTATGCGAAAATTTGTTAGTTGGACAGAAAAAAGCACATTTTAATTTAAAACCTCAATGTATTGTGTGGATTTAAATCTTCGTAAAATCTCACCTGCCAAGTTCGGTTTGGAGAGGAAGCATAACACTCATTTTGCATAAAGGATTCTATAACATGCTAAGATTTACAAAACATAAAAAGAACCTTACAAATTATCTGACAGCTACTTCATGATTTGAATTTATGAAACTGAGAATTATGCACAGAAATGGACGACTAATTTCTGTGCTTCTAATGGCATTCATATAACATTATTGTCGATGGTCTTGTGAGTTTGTGACGCCGTGTTGACGTCTGGCATGGTACTAACTAATCTATTTTAATCCAAGGCGCAGGGTGTTGAAAAGTTAACAGTTACTCAGCTAGTCAATAAATGTCTATGAAGTTCATTACTGTGTTCAGAACAGCCCGCTAGGGGACCCTGTATTGCGCCGGTTGTACCTAATTCACAACTCAACCTAATTCTCTAAGATATATTTAAATATCTTACACTCGTTTACGCTTATGTCATTCAAGTCGTAACTTCCTTCAAGGTTTCCCACTTAGGTAATTCGTATGCAATTCCCATTATCCCACGCGCGGTACTCTGCATGTCCCACTCATTTCTCCTGGTATTACGTGAAGGGATACAAATCAGGCCACGATAAATGCTCATGTAATTACCTCCTGTTTCGTAAGTCCAACTACTTTGCTACACGAGATTACTCAAAACACATCGTACTCGGATTTCTGTCTTCCGGGTTGTTGCGCTGTGTAGTCTGGTCGATGTTTACCAACGTTTCAGAGGTCATACTGCCTCCGTCATCAGGGCGATGAAAATTTCTGTCTTCTGGGCTGTTGCGCCGTGTAGTCTGGTAGATGTTTACCAACGTTTCGGAGGTCATACTGCCTCCGTCATCAGGGCGATTCATCAACCCAGAAGAGAGAAATCCGAGTACTCACCGCTGTGAAAACCTCACATCGTACTCATTTGTCACTAACTGAAATATCAGAACTGTTACACTAAATCTTATTCTAGACCCCACGTTTTCCCGGTTGAAGTTCAGTGTGTGACTTCTGTTTTCTTGGATGAATTGCGTAGTATACTGAAGGTCATTCAACCATTCGGCAAACATTGCAGTTACCATCTTCAGGGTGAATGTATTGGTTGGGTGTTTTTGGAAAGATAAATGGAGCAGGTGACAGGTACCGAGGAGCGGGCTGTTATCCAATCGGTGACGAGCACGTGATTGAGGAAAGGAAATGTTATAGAAATTTTTAAATTCATGTGGGAGGAGAAAAGGTGATAAAGAAGTTTTGGTGATCATGTGAATCTGGAAAAGAGCTGATGGAGAACGGCAGTTACGTGGCCGAAAAGAGAAGTTGGGCGACCTTCAACGTTGACGAGGCTCATCTTCGAGACCAAATAGCACAAATCTTGATTAGGAAGTAGGATCTGCTGCATAATTAAGCACTGTTTCAGAAGTCGTAACTGTAGCATTAGAAATTCGGCATGTAAGAGTAGAACTATACATACACTGAAAGAAAAGGTGTGGATCATGGCTATCGCTAACCAGACGTAGGACACAGTGGTTTTATGATCAGAAATGCAAATCAAAAGCAGGGAACCCCTTCACAGCGTTACGATAACAGAGATTATAATTTATGCATAACATCACACAGTCAAACATTCTTTTATTAATATATTAATTATTTTGCAGAAGTTAGAAATATATTGTTAAAATAATCTTGTTTCAGAGGTGGGAGCTGTTGGTTCTGTCAAAGTTGAAGTGGGACGTTGCTGCTGTTACACCCCAGGACTTCCTCCAGCACATTTTGGTGAGACTCCCAATCGACCGAAATACGTGGGACGCACACATGATACACAGACACGCCCAGACGTTCATCGCGCTCTCGACCAGGGGTAAGTAACTTACAGGGCAATGCTCTAGTCTTAATTGCAGCTGCGAGGAAGAAAACAATAGCTTCCTAATTTACACTCTTCGCCTGATATGACGAAGATGATCATCACATTAAGAAGGCTGAGGTGTGTGGGGCATGTGGCACTCTTACGAAAGATGAGAAGTAAGGTCTGGGCCTTTTAACCTGTTCCGATCTCCGGGTTAGTCGGAACTGTTCCTTCCACCTCTTCGATGGTGGACCAGCTTCCAAGGTATTCGATAAGTCGGCATTCTTAAAGTATGTTCTGAGTAGTTAAGGTGGCATTCTTTTACTTTGTCTCCTTGATTAAATGTATTTCATCCTTGTCTAATATCTGTACTTCTCTTTTTATCCACTCTTTAACCTGCCACTGATCTAAGGAATCTCGTTTTAGAACATTCAATTTGTTGCAGCTGTGGTCTGGTTGAAGCCCAGCATCCACTGCCATATAAGGGAGGTGGTACTTCTGTAATTTTGCAGACCTTTAAGATTTCCTCTTGCTGAGATTTATTAAACAGTGTGCGATAAATACACAAATAATTGAAAGTTCCTAAGGAAATACATAATTCGGATATAAATAAATAGGACGTAAGGATGTGGACTGGATTCAGCTGGCTCAGGATGAGTAGTGGCTCTTTTGAGAACGGTATGGACTTTCTGATACCATAAAAGTAGAATAATTTCTTGAAGAGCAATGCAAATACCAGTTTCTAAAGAATGGCCGCGCTCCATTGACATTGTAAAAAGATGGGTTCAGAGAAAATCCGTGCTGCTGGATGGAGCACTAGTTAGCAACGTGAAAGGAAGTGAAGCCAAGGCGAAATGTAACAGCTGTGATAAGGCATGGACCAACTTGGAAGGCGCGAAACTGCTAACCAACTCGATTATCGGGGGGCCTAGAAGCATTGCGACACAGTTGCTGACCTTACTGCTGAAATTTCCTATAAAAGCAAGTTCTGAGAGCCCCAAACGTTGATAAACTTTCATTCAAAGGTTCCATTTCATATGCCTATAGCAGTAAGATTTATGAATCAATACATATAGAATTACGTCGAAGTCTGAAGGTTTCTGAGGATGATGTGTGTGCAAAAGTGTTCTACTGGACTGTTTCCATCGCATAAATCAGCAATAAAATTACAAAACTACATTTCGGAAACAGAAATCTGCTTCCGTCTTCAGGTAGAAAGGGGGAAGAGCTAGCCTCTCACCAGGTCCAGGTCGACCACAAATCAAGAAAACTTGGATTTATTTTAGTAAAGCACAGTTAAGTAAATGCCAGTTATTCTGAACAACTACAGACTTATATAATTATTTATTTCGACGCCATATTCCGAAATCCTGAAAGGCTTTTTGACATCGGTGTAGGTGGTGAGTAACGAACACACAATTTTGGTTGCAAAACCGAGTCATAGACTTTATTTAACAGCGTTACGAATAAGAACGTTTGGCAATTACCATGTTACTACACACGACATATCTCGTTTTGAAAGCTCATTAATCAGCATTTACTTGGCGTTTGAGAGCAATCAAAGGAACGTAACAGACAACAGGTTTTCTATACAGAACGTACACAAACACCAGCAGGGATGGGGTTAAAACTGTGAAATTTGTAAGCACCACCCAGTGTCAATGTGTTTAAAACCGAAGCAGTATTTTAACACAGCACATAAAAAGGTCTGTAACTACATGTGCAAACCGGATCTAATAAAAACGTTATGTTTTTATTCAAGGTCTTTAACAAAAATAAGAATGAAAGAAATGAAGGGTCAATGTATTTTTCTTGGTTAATACAAGCCGTCTAAAAAGTTGCCGACCACACAAGGCTAGATGGCAGTCAGTTCAGCGACCTGAGGCACTACGTCAGATGTTAGCCTTGGTACGATTCGCGAATCAGCAGCAGCACGAGGCATGCTACACTCTGTGCCGAAAGCATCAGGCAGCCGTGTTAACTGACAGGAAGCGAGGCCTGCCAACTGCAGGGTACGTGCGAGACAAAGACAGAAATACGAAAATTGAGAAGGGAAGAGAGACAGACAGAAGGCAAAAAAGTAAAGAATGAAAAGAAAATTGAGAAGGGAAGAGAGACAGACCGAAGGCAAAAAAGTAAAGAAAATGAAAGCAGGGAAAATGGGGATGGAAACAAAAGAGAAATTGACACGGAAATAAAGCTAGGAAGAAGGAAAGGGAGTACGAGAAGGACACTAAACCTGACTGTTACCGTCGTCCGGGTTATGTTGGCCAGGGTCTAAATCTGACCTTTCCCTGCCATCTAGTGCCCAGGTGTTTAAGCCTGCCTCCATGCCCCCTATACATCTTCATAGCCTTCCTAATTTACACTCTTCGCCTGATATGACGAAGATGATCATCACATTAAGAAGGCTGAGGTGTGTGGGGCATGTGGCACTCTTACGAAAGATGAGAAGTAAGGTCTGGGCCTTTTAACCTGTTCCGATCTCCGGGTTAGTCGGAACTGTTCCTTCCACCTCTTCGATGGTGGACCAGCTTCCAAGGTATTCGATAAGTCGGCATTCTTAAAGTATGTTCTGAGTAGTTAAGGTGGCATTCTTTTACTTTGTCTCCTTGATTAAATGTATTTCATCCTTGTCTAATATCTGTACTTCTCTTTTTATCCACTCTTTAACCTGCCACTGATCTAAGGAATCTCGTTTTAGAACATTCAATTTGTTGCAGCTGTGGTCTGGTTGAAGCCCAGCATCCACTGCCATATAAGGGAGGTGGTACTTCTGTAATTTTGCAGACCTTTAAGATTTCCTCTTGCTGAGATTTATTAAACAGTGTGCGATAAATACACAAATAATTGAAAGTTCCTAAGGAAATACATAATTCGGATATAAATAAATAGGACGTAAGGATGTGGACTGGATTCAGCTGGCTCAGGATGAGTAGTGGCTCTTTTGAGAACGGTATGGACTTTCTGATACCATAAAAGTAGAATAATTTCTTGAAGAGCAATGCAAATACCAGTTTCTAAAGAATGGCCGCGCTCCATTGACATTGTAAAAAGATGGGTTCAGAGAAAATCCGTGCTGCTGGATGGAGCACTAGTTAGCAACGTGAAAGGAAGTGAAGCCAAGGCGAAATGTAACAGCTGTGATAAGGCATGGACCAACTTGGAAGGCGCGAAACTGCTAACCAACTCGATTATCGGGGGGCCTAGAAGCATTGCGACACAGTTGCTGACCTTACTGCTGAAATTTCCTATAAAAGCAAGTTCTGAGAGCCCCAAACGTTGATAAACTTTCATTCAAAGGTTCCATTTCATATGCCTATAGCAGTAAGATTTATGAATCAATACATATAGAATTACGTCGAAGTCTGAAGGTTTCTGAGGATGATGTGTGTGCAAAAGTGTTCTACTGGACTGTTTCCATCGCATAAATCAGCAATAAAATTACAAAACTACATTTCGGAAACAGAAATCTGCTTCCGTCTTCAGGTAGAAAGGGGGAAGAGCTAGCCTCTCACCAGGTCCAGGTCGACCACAAATCAAGAAAACTTGGATTTATTTTAGTAAAGCACAGTTAAGTAAATGCCAGTTATTCTGAACAACTACAGACTTATATAATTATTTATTTCGACGCCATATTCCGAAATCCTGAAAGGCTTTTTGACATCGGTGTAGGTGGTGAGTAACGAACACACAATTTTGGTTGCAAAACCGAGTCATAGACTTTATTTAACAGCGTTACGAATAAGAACGTTTGGCAATTGCCATGTTACTACACACGACATATCTCGTTTTGAAAGCTCATTAATCAGCATTTACTTGGCGTTTGAGAGCAATCAAAGGAACGTAACAGACAACAGGTTTTCTATACAGAACGTACACAAACACCAGCAGGGATGGGGTTAAAACTGTGAAATTTGTAAGCACCACCCAGTGTCAATGTGTTTAAAACCGAAGCAGTATTTTAACACAGCACATAAAAAGGTCTGTAACTACATGTGCAAACCGGATCTAATAAAAACGTTATGTTTTTATTCAAGGTCTTTAACAAAAATAAGAATGAAAGAAATGAAGGGTCAATGTATTTTTCTTGGTTAATACAAGCCGTCTAAAAAGTTGCCGACCACACAAGGCTAGATGGCAGTCAGTTCAGCGACCTGAGGCACTACGTCAGATGTTAGCCTTGGTACGATTCGCGAATCAGCAGCAGCACGAGGCATGCTACAGTCTGTGCCGAAAGCATCGGGCAGCCGTGTTAACTGACAGGAAGCGAGGCCTGCCAACTGCAGGGTACGTGCGAGACAAAGACAGAAATACGAAAATTGAGAAGGGAAGAGAGACAGACAGAAGGCAAAAAAGTAAAGAATGAAAACAGGGAAAATGGGGATGGAAACAAAAGAGAAATTGACACGGAAATAAAGCTAGGAAGAAGGAAAGGGAGTACGAGAAGGACACTAAACCTGACTGTTACCGTCGTCCGGGTTATGTTGGCCAGGGTCTAAATCTGACCTTTCCCTGCCATCTAGTGCCCAGGTGTTTAAGCCTGCCTCCATGCCCCCTATACATCTTCATAGCGTGGTACAGCGGCGACATTGCATTTTACATTCCAAGAATCAGACCCAAAAAATTTTTGTCAAAATCTTCGTTTTATGGAAATTTATACTCGAGTTCTTTCGTCGCTGATGAAATGACCTTGACAAATTAACTTGTAAACGGCAATAAAAATTTCAGGGATTTGGAGAGTATGGAGTGAATGGAATATTTACAGCACCCTGATTGAAGGCCGCCTGCCTGCCTGCCTTTTTCCTGCCTAAAGCTTCAACAGGTATATTTCAAGCGACCAAGGCGAAGAAGGATAGAATTCCTTGCTGCTGCTCCTACATAAACATAAGGAATGTATCAAGAACGTGCAGGAATGTGTGTGACTGTGAACTTGTCTGCCGGTCAAGAGATTGACTAGGCGAAGGAAGACCTGGACCACTGATGTCCCAGTGGTAAATTATCATTCAATAGTT